AAAAAAAAAAAATAAGTGACACACTGGAAGACAAATGTCACACAATTTCAATTTTATGTATAACCTAGAAATGATGACCTTATGGGAACAGAGAGCAGAATTATGGCTATTAGGCTTCAATGTGGGACTTTTAACAATGGGGAAACGATTGGTTTAAGGATATAAAACTGCAGTTGGACAAGAGGCATAGATTCTGTGAAGTCTTGAGGTCTACTGAGAGCATGATAAATATGGTTAATAACAATATGCTATATTTTAAAAGTTGTGAGATAGTATACTTTAAGTGTCCTCAAAACAAAAATGATAAATATGTGTGATATAACATGTTAATTGGTTTAATTTAGCCATGCCATTGTGAACATACTATATTCTGTATCATAATTATGCATGACTTTATTTATGAACTAAATAAATGAATGAAAAAAAAAAGATGTGTGTGTGTGTAAAACTTATAGAACTTTCTGTAATTTCAGTACTCAAGAAGCCAAGGCAGGGGAACTGCCAATGAGTTCAAAGCCTGCCTGGGCTACATAACAAGACCCTGTCTCAAAACAAACAAACAAACTAAAACCAACAAAATTTCTAGGGGCTTTAAATTCACCTAACAAGGATTAAATTTACAGAGAGGCAAATTTTGGCTCTACCTGTAACATGAGTCAACAAGCAGCATTTTCAAAACAGAATGAGCCTTTTGAGATGTTGAGTTCAGGAAATGCTCAAGGAAACACTAGCTAACAAATGAAGTAGGATGATTTATGCTATCAGAACAAAGGATACATACAGTACATATACCATTTTATACTAAGCAGCTACAGTATGCAAATACAATTATTTTATTTACAGAACTGAAAACATATGCTTTTTTATACCGTCACAGTCTGTATTGGTTCCTGGATCAGGCTCCTTTGCAGGCATTTCCTCTGGTTTTGACAAAAGATCTTTTGAGGTGTTAAGAATGTCTTTCTCTTTGTCAGAGTCATCAAGATCCTTTAGCATACTACAAGAAAAAAAAAGTTAAATCAATCATGCTATAGATGAAATGAATGCAGCTCTGTCTCCCACTCTTTTACAATAAATATGTAAACAGATAAAGGAAAGGTTTCCTTTTCTTGTGTTTGTTTTGAGACAGGGTCAAGGAGCACAGGATGCCCAGGAACTTGCTATACATGGTCAAGGCTTACTGTCTCCCCTTCCTAGTGCTGAGATTAGAATCTGGATGGGAAACACATTTGTATCTCTCTTTAGCTGACCCTCAAGTCCTCCATTTTCTGGTTCCAAAAGACCCTTTCAACTCCTATCCCCGAGTATATCCTTTCAGTTATACTAGGCTTATGAGCTCTGTGTTGTCTAGGGTGACAGATTTTGCTCTCTCAATTTGGAAGAACCCACTGTCCCAAGTTCTCTGTATCCAAACTATACATGTTCTTAGAGTCCCACACATTACTTCACTGCTGTCCCCAGAAAGTAGTTACTCATGACACCGTTTTCTGAGATTCCAAGCAGCTTTACCTGAACTTTTTGTATTAAGCCAATGTGTATCAAGTGTGCAAGTACACACACACACACACACACACACACACACACACACACACACACACATTAGATTCTATATAAATATATTAATTAAAAACCACAGTCTGTTTGATTGGACAGAAAAGTATTTTTAAGCTAGGTGTGGATCACACCTGTAATCTCAGCACTCAGAGTTAGGGGCAGGAGAATGAGGATTTTAGTGCCATTCTTGACTACAAAGATTTTAAGTTGAGATCCTTCCTAAAATGCAAACACAGTGCCGGGAGATGACTCAGTTCATAAATCACCTGCAGTGCAAGCATGAGGACCTAAGTTTATATACGCCTCATACACTGAAGAGGCAGAGAAAAGCAGATCCATAAGGAGTTGCTGGCCATGAGCCGAGCCAAACTGGTGAGAAAGCCTATCTCAAAATTAACAATAAATAAAATACAATAAAGAACCACAATAATAAGAAATAAAGTATGCATAAAATCCAAGCATATATTATACATAATATATCTGAGAAACTTCTATTTCAATTTTATAATATGTGATGGCTTGAATGAAAATGACTCACATAGGCTCATAGGCACTATTAGGAGGTGCGGCCTCGTTGGAGGAAGTGTATCACTGGGGGTGGGCTTTGAGGTTTCAGAAGCTCAAGCCAGGCCCCGTCTTTTTCTCTCTTCCTGCTAACTGTTGATCAGATGTAGAACTCTTCAAGTACCTCCCCATATATCTGCCTGTATGCTGCCATGTGCCCCACCATGGTGATGATGGACTAAACCTCTGAACTATAAAGCTCAATTAAATGTTTCCTATAAATGTTATAGGAGCTGCCTTGGTAATGGTGTCTTCTCAGCAATAAAACCTTAACTATGACATAATGTACAGTTATTCACATTAGGCTGCAACAGAAAAATAGAGAATCAACCTTGTAAGTAATCTTTTCCAACTGCTAAATATCTAAATATTATGCTCTGGATATGAAAGACTTCTGTTTGAACACCTGGTGATGCCCTTTTGAGAAGTTGTAGAAATCTCTGGGACACAGGGCCCAGCTGGCAGATAGAGGCCACCAGAGTGTTGAGAGTTCCATTTTTATATCCTGATCCACCTGCACTTGAGAGTGACCAGCCATAAGCTAGAGCTCCACATGCCTCCTACTTCGATGGACTGTACCCTATGAAACTGTGAGCCAAAGTAAGTCCTTCTTCTTGGACACTGTTTGTCACAGCGATGAGAAAAATAACACGCTAAGCAAAGGAACTCAGGGTAGAAGAACTCAATAAATTAGGAAAGCATAAATTTTAAATGTAGCGACGGGCATTGGTGGTACATGCCTTTAATCCCAGCATTCAGGAGGCAGAGGCAGGTGGATCTATGTGAGGTTGAGGCCAGCCTAGTCTACAGAGGACAAGCCCCAAAACAATATAGAGAAACCCTGCCTCAAAAAACCAAGATAGATAGATAGATAGATAGATAGATAGATAGATAGATAGATAGATAGAAAGAATTTAAATGTAGCAATATGGAGAATAATGTTAAAAGAATCAGAGTCTGGGCCAGGTGTTAGTGGCACACACCTTTAATCCCAGCACTCGGGAGGCAGAGGCAGGCGGATCTCCATTAATTTGGGTCCAGTCTGGTCTACAAAGCTACACAGAGAAACCCTGTCTCAAAAAATCAAAAACACTTCCTTCTCTTCCTAATCCAGATGATATACTACAAGGATCTGTTTCTGTCAAAATAGTGACTTAAACAGGGCTGGAGAGATGGCCTAGCTGTTAATAGCACCAGTTGCTCTTCCAGGGAACTGGGTTCAATTCCCAGCACCCACACAGCAGTTCACAACTCTCTGAAACTCCAGTTTCAAGGGATCTGGCATCCTCACACAAACATTCATGCAGGCAAAATATCAATTCACATAAAATATAAATGAATGAATTATAAAAAAAAAAGTGACTAAATAATATAGTAGTAGATATCCCATACTTAACTGGACTGACATCTGGATCAGTCAGTTCTCCTGCCTTAAGTCTCTGGAGTAGGAGGTCTTTCAAATGTGACTGGTAAAATAAAACAGTAATCCCTCTTCACCCCAATTATGGTAGTTCTCACCTGTAATCCTGACACTTGGGAGACTAAGGCAGGATGATCCTGGATTCAAGGCCAGCATGAATTACACAGTAAGAGTTTTGTTGTTGTTGTTTGTCTTTGAGACAGAGTCTCACTTTGTAGACCAGGCTGGCCTCAAATTCAGAGATCTGTCTGCACTGCCTCCCCAGTGCTGGAACTAAAGGCTCAAGCTACCAAGCCCAGCTAAGAATGGTTTCTAAACAACCAATAAATAAATAACAATGTTTGGATGCTTTTATTTGAATACAAAATAAACCATAGAAGCACAAAGAATACTTACATAGAAATGATAATGTATAACTAAACTACATTACTTAAGGCATCTTAGAAACAAACAAGAATCTTTATTATTAACTATTTTACCTGCAGCATTTTGAAGAGGAAGAAGCTGCAGAAATAATTTCTTCTTCTGGAGAAGGTGGAACAAAGTCTACATCATAATCATCATCATCATCATATAGCGCTTTCTCAGTTGACTGTAATTTAACTTCACCTACATGGTTCTTCTTTTCACTATTATCTAAAGAAAAATAGTTGGTAAACACAGATTATTTGAATAATTAATGAGACAGAAGAGGCACAAGCTCTTATGAGTGAGTGCTTTTTTGGGCAAGTCATAAACAATCAGAACATTTTGTATGGGAGTCTCCTGCAGGTTAATGTTGGCTGACTTCTTCACGAGAAGTGAATCAACTGGAAGAAGTACAAAGCTGGACTAAAGCCAGAGATTTGCTCAGGGAATTCAATACCTATATCATGTTTTGCTTCTTCTGTTTCCTGCTCATGTTTAAAAAAGAGCAATGTGCAGCAGGTTAAGTCTAACAGCACAAACACTTGGGTTTGCTTTGTTTCTGTTTGCTTGTTTCCAGACAAGGACCTGCTGCACAGCCTGGACTTTTGGACTGTTTATCTTGCTGCCTCCACCTCCTGATCCAAGATCACAGGTGTGCCCCAGAGCGGGTACACACACTGCTGCTACACAGATAAACCACCTCTGTCACAGAGTTGTCTCAGCTACATAAACATATCTCTGGTGCTCCATGGTTTTGCCTTTACCATCCACCTGTATTCTCTTAAGAAACAGCAACACAATAGATTAAACTACAGTTATGCTGTTTTGTTTTGTTTTTTAAATCAATCCCTTTTCAGCCCTCTCTCATTGTGTAACAATTTTAACAGAACTGAGTGTTTAAAATTTTAGTCTCAGGATGTGGCATGTACCTGTGATCTAAGCTACTAAGGAGGCTGAGGCAGAAGAATGGTCTGTAATTCTAGCTACCCAGACACTAGGCATGCACGTGGCACACAGATACACATATAGGCAAAAGACCCATACACATGAAATTTAAAGAAAAAAAAAATAAAGATGAACCAGGACCAGTGAAATGATTAGTGGATTGAATCATTGATCCTCAAGCCTGATAAGCTGAGCTTCAAACTCAAGAGTAGATGGAGAGGATGGATTGCAAAGTTGCCCTCTTGACTTCCAGTGCCCCCCTCCCCCAATACACATAATAAATAAAAGAGTTATTCAGGAAATGTGTTTAAAAACATTTTTTCAATTTTATGTATGAGTGATGGGTTTTGATCTTATGTATGCATTTCTTTATTTTTGAGGTAAAATCTCAAAATATATGTAGCTTTAGCTGTCCTAGAACTTACAGAGATAAGCTTGCCTCTGCCTCCTGAGTTCTGGGATTAAAGGTAAATGCAACTATGCCTGGTGGTGTATGAGTGCTCTGCTGGCATGTATATGCACCATGTGCATTTGCCCTCAGAGGTCAAAAGAAGGAATCAGATTTCCTGGAACTGGAGTTATGGATGGTTGTAAGCCACCATGTGGATGCTGGGAACTAAACCCAGGTCCTCTGCAAAACAACAAATGCCCTTAACTAATTAGCCATCTCCACAGCTCCCACAAAACATCTTGAATATGTTTCATAATATAGCCACACACCACATGACTGACATTCCTGCCAACAACCAACCACCTACAAGACAATGGTCTCCTAAGTTAAGATATAGCTAAAATACTCCTATTATATCACAGTGTCACACCTGAGTCTTCTGTTTCTAGTAATACAGTTACTTACAGTAAATAATACTCGACATAATGATACTGGTGTATATTTTTACTAATGTATTCCATCTACTGTAGAAGAGTCTCATACAGGCCCTTCAAGAGGTATTCTAAACCAGGTGTAGTGGCATCTAGGAGACAGAGGCAAGTGAATCTTTCTAAGTTCCTGGTCAGACAATATAGTAAGGCAATATAGTAAGACCTGCCTCAAACAAAAGAACAAGTGTTAATCTGTAAGAATGCACAGGAGGGTGCCGGGCGGTGGTAGCATAAGCCTTTAATTCTAGCACTTTGGAGGTAAGTGGACTTCTGTGAGTTCAAGGTCAGCCTGGTCTACAGAGCAAGTTCCAAGACAGCCAGGGCTATGTCAAAAGAAACAAAAAACAAAAAGGAATGCAGAGGAGAGCTCAGTGTGGTGGTACATACCTTCAAACCCAGCACAGCAGAGGCAGAGGCAGAGAGAGAGAGAGGCAGATAAAGAGGCAGACAGACAGGCAAAGAGAGAGGCAGAGAGAGAGAGGCAGAGAGGAGGCAGAGAGGAGGCAGAGAGAGGCAGAGAGGCAGAGGCAGAGGCAGATGGAGTTTTGTGAGGCAGAGGCCAGCTGGTCTCATGCTCCTGACCCTATGTTACACTAATGTTTAAGTTCATATCTTGGTTTTACAGAACATCAATAAAGAAATGAAAGGTGAAAGGAAGGAGAGAAGGATAGGGAAGGGAAGGAGTGAGGGAGGAAAAGGAAAGGGAAAGGAAGAAAGGAAAAGAAAAGGGTGAACTTGGTTTGGTAGCTTATAATCTTAATTTCAGCATTCAGGAGACTGAGACAGGAGTATCAAGAATTTAAGAGCAGGGGACGGAGAGATATTGTAGCACATTAAAAGCACTTGCTACTCATGCAGAGGACCTGGGTTGGGTTCCCTTAGATATGGCTTCTACTGCTTGATGAAACACCATGACCAAAAGCAACTTATGGCCGGGTGTTGGTGGCGCTAATCCCAGCACTCGGGAGGCAGAGGCAGGTGGATCTCTGTGAGTTCAAGGCCAGCCTGGTCTCCAGAGTGAGTGCCAGGATAGGCTCCAAAGCTACACTGAGAAACCCTGTCTAGAAAAACAAAACAAAACAAAACAAACAAAAAAGCAACTTATAGAGGAAAGGGTTTTTTTCATCTTACAATTTGTTCTCCATTATTCAGATAGTCAGTGAAGGAACTCAGAGAAGGAACCTGGAGGCAAGAATTGTTGCAGAGGCCATGGAACATTGTCTATTAGCTTGCTCATCCTGTTTTTCTTACAGCATCCAGGACCATCAGCCCAGGTTGGGAGCACTGTCTAGTGAGCTGAACCCTCCTAAATCAACTATCAACCAATAAGATGTACTAAAGGCCTGTCTACAGGCCAATCTGGTGGGGGGAATTTTCTCAATTGAGAGTCCCTCTTCCAAATAACTCTAGTTTATGTAAGCTGACATAAAACTAATCAGTACAACATAAAATAAGAAAAACCAAAAAAAAGAGAGAGAGAGAGAGAGAGAAAAAACATTTTGCATGGCTCTATAATCATGTTTTTTATGGTTTAACTGTGACTATAAGAATTAAAGCTTAAAAATTACAATGAACTAAAAGTAATTATTGAGGAAGTGAAAATTTTAATGAATATGCTATAGTCTAATTGCAGTGTTTATAATGTACTGAAATGGCTAGCAACATCCTATGCCTCCACATTCTCTTTCTACTTTCTCAGAGAAGCTTCTAGTTCGACCAGCTCTATTCATGATATGTACTCTATTCAGTACACAAAATTCTTTAAAAAATGTTAATGTTTACGTTTACCGTACCTTTTGTATACTTAGAAATGTTTGGATACTGAACTCCTGGAATTCAGTTGTAGAGAGGGAGGAGTGATGAGCAAAGGGGTCCAGACCACGCTGAGGAAACCCACAGAAACAGCTGACGGAGCAAATGGGAGCTCATGGACCCCAGACTGACAGCTGGGAAACCAGCACAGGACCAAACCAGGTCCCCTGAACATGGATGTTAGCTGGGAGGCCAGGGCAGTCTATGGAGCCTCTGGCAGTGAAACCAGTATTTATCCCTAGTTCACAAATGGTCTTTGGGAGCCCATTCCCCAAAGACGGATACTCTCTCAGCCCAGATACATGGGGGAGGGCCTAGGCCCTGACCCAAATAATATGACAGGCTTTGATGATCCCCCATGGGAGGCCTCACCCTCCCTGGGGAGTGGGTGGGGATGGGATGGGGGGGGGTTAGTGAGGAGAAAGGGAGCATGAGAAGGAGAGGGAACTGAGATTGGTATGTAAAATGAGATTGTTTTTAATTTAAAATTTTAAAAAGGAAAAAAAAAAGTTTGGATACACAGATATATTCCATGGTGTTACAAACACCTACAGTATTCACAGACGTATGGTTTTGGAGATTCTGAGCAAGAGGCAAGCCATGTAGCTTACGTGTGTAGTAGGCTCTGCCATCTAGGTTAGAGTAAGTTCACTATAATATTTGCAGGATGACATAGCCTAATAACACATTTTTCTCAGAACATATCCTTGTCACTAAGTGATACACGACTGTATTAAGCAGGATGATTAGAGGTTACCATCAATATTTGACATATACTTTAAGGCAGCAAGCCATTAAAAAACTACACATACAGAAAGGCTCACCTCACTTTCCAATCCTATCACTAGGTATCCATTTTAACCTCTGCAGACCTTCCTTCCTTCCTTCCTTCCTTCCTTCCTTCCTTCCTTCCTTCCTTTTGTTTTGTATTGTTTTTCAAGACAGGGTTTCTTTGTGTAGCTTTGTAGACCAGGTTGGCCTCAAACTCACAGAGATCTGCCTGCCTTTGCCTCCTGAATGCTGGGATTAAAGGCATGCGCCACCACCGCCCAGCATCAGAACTCCATTTCTACATGTTTAAATCACAGAGCTAACTCTGGCAGAGCAGATATCAAGACCCCCAAGGACAAAAACTGTTTACTGCTGTTCCCAATGTTGGCTTTCAATTAAAAAGTATTGTAAACATACTGAGATGAAGATGAGATGATGGCTACCTCTTTCAACTTCCAATTCAGTTTCCAAAGACTGACTCTCCTGAGCGTCTTTCTTCACAAGCTCTTCAGAACCAGGGTCACTGTCGATGCAAATCACATCACCGCTTAAGTATTCCGACTCATCCTTCTGATCCTTAGTTAAATCCACTTGTGAGCTTTCAGGGGAAGACAGAGTCAAACCAGCCTTTACCACACTTGCTTTATGAGGTGGTGGTTTAAAAAAGTTTCTGATAGACTTTTTTGGTTTCTGAGCAGTGCTTACTCTTATGACAGGGTTTCTACTCATTGAAACAAATGCATCTGATGCTGAAATATCAAAGTCATCCATATCGGCCCAATCGTTGAGGGAATCTGGTGAAGAACTAAATTCTAATTTCTTGAAAACAGAAATGTGGGGTTTCTTTACAGCTGGGGTTTTGGGGGCAGTACATAAAACTTCCTGAGGAATCTGCACCAAGTCCAGCTGTGATGGTTTGGTCCCCTTGGTCTGCTGTTCTCCCAGAGAATTTTTAAAGAAGCCATCAATCCCAGGCTGCTGCTTTGGTGTGTGGAGTAGAGGAGACTCAGTGGATGGAAAGGCCTCAGACACAATCACATCTTTATCACTTAATGCAGGTGTTTTTACCACTGGCACGCTAGTTACAGACACATCACCCTCTGACGTTTTCTTTTTAAAAGTAAAACCTCTGAAAAATAATGGAAAAACTGAAATTAGATGAATTCATTTGTTTCTGATGCTGGGGACTGAACCCAGGGCCTCATTTATGCTAAGTACGTGTTCTAACATAAGTTGCACTCCCAGCCCCCGATAGAACCACTTCCATTTTAACAAACTCACTCACCTATAAAACATATTTTCAAACACAAGCTACATTAGTTTTATTACAAATGAGCACAGAATCCATCTCCCTCTGTGGCTTTAAAATTTTACCAGGTAACAAATACATCTGGTTGCTCTGAACCTTCCCATTCATAGGCTAATTACTGGGTTTGAGAGTTCCTAGGCCAGTCCCACACTATTTCTCAGGCTGGCAGTCCTTAATAGAACCTTCAAAAGGAAGAGACAGAAGTGTGTGAAAAAAGGATGTGGCTTTTGCCACTCTGATAAAATATATTCAAAGAGAAAAGAAAGAGAGAGAAAGAGAGACAGAGAGACAGGGACAGAGACAGAGAAACTGCTGAGATCTAGAGGATAAAAAGGAGACAGGAGTCCTGGCTATTTGAATTAATGACATGAAGGTCAATAGTGACTTTAAAGCAACTTTAAAGTCAAGCGTCTGGATCAGTGCTTGCAACCTAAGGGCATAACCAAACACAAATTATTATTAGGCACCATTAGGAACTTGGGGTATAGCTTGCAGAAAACAGCAGAAGTAGATGGGCTGTGTCCCTACAAAGTCTGGCAGAGCATATGAGATTATGTTAAAGTATAATAACTGTTCAAATTCACAAGAAAATTCATTACTTGTTTATCCAACTTTGCTGAAAAAGTAAGTATGTGCGAGGAACTGTGTAAAGCTGCAAAGCAATCACTACCTACATCTGCTAGAACATGCCCTACTATTAATTAGCAAAGTGGGAAAACCACTGAGCCCCTCATTTCCTCTATAAAATGAAAAAGCTAAAAGAAACAGGGTGTGGTGCTAATCCTAGCACATCCAAGGCTGAGGCAGGACTGCTGCCAGTGTGAGATGAGCTAGCATGAACTACAGTAAGTTCTAGGCCAGTGCGAGCTACAGATGGGATCCTATCTCAGACAGAGCTCAAAGACAAGAGCTCCATTTGTAGGACACCTGTGTTATCATCTACATGCTAATGAATATACTTACGAAGATTTTGGTTTCGAAAGGTCGAATTTATTATTAAGTTTTCTGGCTGAGTGACGCTGCAGTTGCTCCTGTAGGTTGTTCAGAGGAACAGCAGCCATGGTCTAAAAAGGAAGAGGGCAACCATTAGTGGAGTTAGGTAATTTGTACCATTCAGGATATTTATTGAGGAGGTAAAGGACTTGACTCAAACAGCTACTGTTCCAAATGTGCCCATTTTTATTGCTTGTTTTATCCCCCCCCTCCAGATTACTTTAACATTTACATCTGGTGACATTTAAAACACATAATTTTGGGGGGGGGCTGGAGAGATGGCTCAGAGGTTAAGAGCACTGGTTGCTCTTCCAGAGGTCCTGAGTTCAATTCCCAGCAACCACATGGTGGCTCACAACCATCTGTTATGAGATCTGGTGCCCTCTTCTGGTGTGCAGATAGACATGGAAGCACAATGTTGTATACAAAATAAATAAAATCTTTAAAAAAAAAAAAACACAATTTTTAACCAGCCGAAGATTTACTTGAATAACAAAATGGCCTGGTTTCCCCCTTTCCTCAACAGACACTAAAAACTAAAATCAGCAATGATTAGGAAAGGGCTTGTAGAAAAATGGGACCTAGACTAGAT